AAGCAAAAAGCAATTTGCAAGGAGAATCTTGCAGTCTATCTTGATGTCACTTAGGTTCTTTTTCCATTCATCCCTTCATTTGTATGCATGCCGTAAACTTCTGCTTATAAGACCTGGACTTATACAATTTTGTAAAGGTTTTTAGATGGGCTTATAAATGCAGGGGCTTATATCCAATCGGGCTTATAACCAGAATAAAATAAAACATTTTGAAACGAGCTATAGCTGCACATGTTGATCAAAATAGGTCTTTTTTCATTTATTTGTAATAAAGCTTTAAAACATCATAATAAAACAAATTCAAAACAAGGAAAGCTAGAGGGGGGCTTATAACCGGATGTATTTTTGGTTTACAGGTGCCTGTAGCTGGGCCTACGGGAGGGGCTTGCAAGCAGCCATTTACAGTACTTCAAAGACTGTCATCTAGTTGTCATATAACAAGTACAATCTGGAGTGCATACCAGATCTATCAACTGAGCAGGGTAGACACAAACTATGGCATTGTGAGCAATATCCATCTAAAGAGTATCTAAGCAAATGTTGAATTTGTTAAGTACAAATATACATAGCAGCTCAAAATTAATCAATAGTTGTTGTTACAAGGGAGAGGTGGGAGGAAGGAGTGTGATGGGGCAAGGTTAATGGCCCCACTCACTAAGCTGGCAATAAATTGGGTCTTGCTATGGACAACTATATTATGAGGCTAGCTAGGGATATCAAATGCTGCAAAGGTTCACAGGGAAGTAGAACTTACTGAAAAAATTCCTTGCACCATCCAGCCGTGAAATCTCTTTAGTGAACCCTCATAGGCCTTCTTGGCACATTTTACGAGATCAGGCTCTCCTGTGAGAACATCCTGGAGAAAAATGATGATAAATTGNAATGAGAGAGCCAGGTCATGTGACCAATCTACAAAACTTTTACTATTTTGATTAACCCTTTTCTGTTCATGTCTAGTGGCTCACCTCCTATCAGTTGAAAGAAAACTTAAGCTCGCAATCTAATTTTTCAATAAATATCAGGTTAAATTACTCATAAAATAAGACTTGAAGGCAAGCTTGATACCTGATCTATTTTGAAATCAGTACCCAAAAGTAAGTTTTAAATTCCATAAAAAATGATAACCCAACCATAAAAATTATACTGCTTGGAAGGAATATCTATAATTTTATTGATCAAGATTGATTTCCTTTACATAAGCTTGAATAAGTTGCGAAAGCAAAAATTTCGGACAAAGTGCGAGTGTGAAATATTTCTGTCAAATATCATGATCATGGGGAGCTCAGTGCTTAAATCTCAAACTCACTGAATTTCGAACTAAAAATATACTTTAAAAAATCAATTCTAGGAATAGGCAAGACGCGGAAATAAATCATTACTAAAAAATAATGACATACAATTGACACGCAGGCAGTGATGTTTGCTCGGAGACCATAAGATTTGCAAATATGAATGAATTGATGAATTTTAGCTTACAAGAAAGCTTACTCACCGAAAAATGGAACTACTTCACTTGCAGCATCCAAAAATGATTTCGTTTCGATTCTGCCATCCTCTGGAATTGGTAAAAACCTATGTTCTGCCTCAGAAAAGAACGACATAATTTTTTCCGTCCTGAGAGAAAGTTGAATTCACGAAGCGCGCGCCAGCGAAGGATTGTTCGTTACTGGCTAGGGTGGGACCGTGTACGCTGAACACCATTTATTTTCGTTTCTGCTCTTTTGATGAAGCCTATAAATATATGATTGTTTTAAAACTATTCAAATACCAGCCAAGACGCAAGCTGCGTACAAAATAACGCATTTACTTTCACTTTCTTGGCTAATTCCATGAGATATATTTCCCCCACTCCTCCTTACTGAGAATATTTTGTCGTGTCATTCATAAAGACCGGGAAAAGATTTCTGGGAAATGTTTTGTTCAGTTTATATTTTATCATGGCGTCCGAGTTCTCACGTATTCAACTTCGACAAAATGAGGTAAAGGTCACGATCTTCTTCATTTTCTTACAACTTACGTTTTTCCACCAACTTTTCTAACGTTAAGAGATTTTGAGTTAAACGAAATACCATTTTCGTCTTCGAGTTATGACAGAAGTCACGTTTTCATTCACAAACAAAAATGTGTGAATCAATTGTCATAGATTTTAATGTGCTCGCAAGTACTTTTCATTCGAATTAAGGGCTTATTTTGAGGTTTAACTATTTTGTGTCAAAGACAATATTTTTATCATTTGATGATCTTATGTTTACGTAATTTGCAGGAGTTGAATTACTTGGGGATCGTTCATTCTCGAATGTAGTACTTTTGAAAGCGCGCGTGGTGGGGTTATTTTAATTCTTTTTATAAATATTCAGTATTCAGTCATTCAGTTCGACAAGTAGATTAGGCTTTCGAATAAGAGGAGAGCAGACAATCGAAACTGAAAATGTTGTTGTTTTCAACTTCTAAATTAAATTGATCTTACCTTATTAAATAGAAACTAGCCGATTGGCAAACGTGTTGTAGCAATGTAATATGTAACCAGTATTTCCTTGTTACTACAAGCCTAACTGAACATTGTTCTTTCACGCGTAGTAAGGCAGAACGTATACAAGAAGATCCCAAAAATGGGATTTAGTTCTTGTTAATTGTTAACGATATGATGTATTTTTGTTTTGCATTGTTTTGTTGTGTTCAGGTAAACTACGAAACATGAAATTTAACACCCAGTCTAACCAAGATATACCCAAAAATTAACCAGAACAGGAATTTTGGAATTCAGTATAATTTATACGCTGTACATCATCACAAGACTACTTATCCTAATTTAATTTATTCATAAAGTTGGGAATGACACTAAATAATTTTGAAGTTTAGAGCACTTTTAGTAATAAATATTTCACTAATGTAACAGGATTATTTTATTGGACATGTATTCAGGGTACCTTAAAAGTTAAAATTTAAACCCTCATTTTCTTTCAAAACTTCCAAACAAGAAAATTGCTGATGTCATTTTTCAGCTATTGGTTTGGTTCTGTAGTAAGACAAATTTTGCCTGAACAAGTTTTCACAGGGTGGGCAAAGTCCAATTGGCTTTCTTCTTTCCCAATAGTAACAGCTCACAAGTAATAATGACATATTCTATCAGGCAACTCGTTCAATATAGGGTTACTTCTTTACCACACTGACACGCAGGAAATTTGGAGAGTACGAAAGAAGAATATGAGTTGCGAGAGGCGCAACAGAAAGCAACTCTACAGTAGCTTCTTGAGTTCTTCTCTCTAGCTCATTTAGAGCTCTCCAAACTTCCCCAAGTGCATCTTAACTCGATGGTGCACCATTAACAACATGAATCAACTGTTTTATAACATTGCCAACAGAAATGAATTTCTCTGTCAAAGCAAAGTTAACTCTGCTCACTCCATGAGCATCTTTCACTGAACCATGCGATTGTGATCCACACTTAAAATGAGTTTGATGGTGCGGTTTTGCTGCCTATGTGACAATAATTATTACTATTTTCCTGCAGGTTCTACTTTTCAAGAATGGTCAACCAATTCTTAGAGTTGAACGAGGGACTACATTGAGTGTCATCAAATTGCTTTATCAAGCTGATCCCCGAAATAAAGGCACAGTTATTGCACTAAGGCCAGATACAGATGACCCTTTACCTTGTGTTTTGACACTCGATCAGTCTCCGCTTGAAGAGGCAAAATATGAAATAATCACTCATGGTGAATACACTTTATCATTTATTTGGTCATGAAACCTTCTAAACAGTAAATCTAGCCTGATGTTTATTTTGATTACAAACTAGTTTGAAAATAACTTGGCTGTCTTGTAGAGATCACTCAAAGCTTGACTTGTTTTTGTTAGGGCATTTACAGAATATAGAGATTAACAACTGTTATCCAATAGTAAAGCTTTCTTAAATGCTCTAGAGGCCAAATGTATCAATAACTTAAGAGCTTGGTGACTGGCTTTTGCTCTGCATGACAGAGTGCATGTTTTGATGCCGACATGTTTGGCATTTGTCCATGGACTAGGATAAACTATCTGAAATTTAAAACTACTGTACTTTTGTACTACTGTACACTGGCTTTTAGTTATTGATACTGTTTTGTTGACACCTAAATTAGTCATTGGCAACTTACATTGCTTAGTATCCTGAACTTTGTAAATGAAAATTACAATATTTAGTGAGGAAGCCACATCAGCCTTAGGTGGTTTTCATGCAGGTCCTGTATCCTGGATCTAAATCAATGTTACTTTCACTCCCTAACTAGAACCTTCAAGAAATTCAACTCAACCAGCCGCCAGGGAAGCAACAAACAGCACACTATTTTCTGATGGAAAATGTTCAAACTTGACAAGGTTACCCTTTTCAAAAATGCCAGTTGATCCGTCTCAAGGGACATCATTAGCTGAAGCACAAGTGGCACAACCTGTCAATCATGGAACACCTCTCACAGTTAGCATCTCGCCCGAAGGTAACACTAAAACCTCTGCAAATCACAGAGATAACAGCAGCAGTTCACTACTGTTAGCTAGAAGGGATGAAAGCCATTTCCCTTCTCGCTCAAGCATTCTTTCCATATCACGTCGCAAGAAGACAGTTCGAAAATCAGTCATTCCTCGAAAGATGTCTCCCAGCTCTAGTCCCGGTCTTGGTCTCAACGGTAAAGTTATACATGGAACGCACCTTCAGCAAGGAGAAGTAGGTCTCCCTGCAAGACACTCGGAAACTATCGGCTCACCAGGCTTATGTGACAGCACAGAAAACGGAAGCCTGAGGCCCTCTATGGAAGATACTGGAGAGGACATGGAAGTGGTCACCCAACACAGAGAGAACCATGGCAGTGATGCTGTGGCAGCATTTTCAGTAGAGGATTCAATAAGTTATGCTAATTTTCCCACCCTAGAAAGTTCTTCAACAAATGGTTCAAGTCCTGCCATCAGCGAGGGACATCCAGCTCTTATAGACATCCACAGTGACTCAAGGGAGACGAGTGGTGGAGAGAATGACTCAGATACGAACTTTGTTAGTTCAGAGAACAGTCCTCCTCAGAACCATCCAGTTATGGCCCAAGGCTCACATAGAAACAATAGACAAGGTTCAGTTGTGGACAGTGAAGAAACACAGTGTTCTCGTACACAAGCACCAATAGTAGTCTTACAGAACACAGTTCAGGTCAAAACAGAACCTAATGAAGTTGTTCCCTTGTCAAACAATCTCTCACCTGAACAAAATAGCAAAGAGTACCATTCACGTTCAGGTGTCAGTTCTGAAAGAGAAGGTAGAGACGAGATTTCAACTGTGGAGGGATTTTCACTTGGTCAGCAGAATGTCATGCCAACAAGCTTACAGAAAGGCCATGCCAATTCACAGGAAATACATCCGGGCTCCTCTCAGATGCCGCGAGTTGTTAATGTTGTTGGTGCTTCTCAGGATCATGATAACCAAATGGAAACTTCTCATCAACTTCACTCTGGTACGCACTACATGGATTTGAAGGAGTACAGCTGTGACATATGTCACAAGCAGTTTGACTCTGCAAACTCTGTACTACGTCATAAACGCTCACACACTGGAGATCGACCCTACATCTGCAAAATTTGTGGATGGGGCTTCAACTTGAGTGGCAACTTAAACCAGCATTTAGCAATTCATCAAAAGGTCAAGCCTTTCAAGTGTGTCTACTGTGGGAAGACTTTTGCACGCTCCAATGTGCTGAAGGCACATGTCCGCTGCCACACTGGCGAGCGACCATTTCAATGCCAACTTTGTGGCAGTAAATTTATCATTGGTCATAATTTAAAGAAGCATATGGTGACACGGCATGGCATTAAGGAAGATGATAAAATGTTCTCACAAAATGATGCCCCCGATGACAATGGAAGGTCCCATGATGATAACATATTCCCACAAAATAATAGCTCTCATGAAAATGGCAGGTATCAACATAACGATAAGGATGAAAATTTAAGTATGTCGCAATCATAAATGACTTTTGCTACATAATATATAACTACTATATTTTGCCCAGGCATGCTTAGCTCAGTAAACAGAACTATTGACAAAAGATTTTTAAACAAAAAATGTGTTGTAAAGGCTCGAGATTAATACCCTGCAGGTAGGTACTAGAAACTTATATTGTACTGTTTTAGGTTTTGGTTATGTTTAGTTTCTACTGTGATCTGCTCAAAAGGTCTCTGGAAAATTATGGAGTTGTACTGCTTTACTGATAAAGCAGAACCAATTAAGACAAACCTATTTAGACTGTAAACTTATTTTAATCCAGAATGTTTACTAGAAAGCTGAAAGGCTCCTTAAACTTCCAAATTTTACAGATTTAATACCACTAGGTAAAATTTCCACAATAATTAAGGTATAATTTTGCCTTAATTTACTGTCAAGTTTATTTTCAGGTCTACATTAGCTACATCACAATAACAGTGAAATAGATATATTGTGACGGTTTAATTTGCATATTAAGAAAATTATTGCATTTAAGCTGAACTTTCTCTAGTCCTTTAACTTCCAAGACTGAAATTACAAATACTTTTAATGAAAACATCTTCTGTACCACATGAAAATACCACTCATAAGCCTTCCAGTGAATAGGCCATATTCGTGTCCTCAGTACTGGACTCAACTTGAACTAGTTTGTGATGGAGGCTTACTCACGGTAGTAGCATTTGCATTTGAAGGGGTACATGGAATAAACCCCCAAGCGACTTTTGGAAAATTTTGAGTTAGTTAAGATTGAAATACCTCCCAGGAATTTTTTATAGTTTACTCTGGTATTCATCATTGTCTTAAAAGAACTAGTAAGAAGAACTAGTTCTTCTTACTAGTTCAAAGTAAAATGTGAAAATTGCTTGAAGGTAATTCAATCCTAGCTAACTCAAAATTTTCCAAAAGTCACTTAGAGCTTTATTCCACAAACCCTTCCATCTGAAAAGTTTCCCGGCATT